CGTACAGCTGCGATATCCAAGCCTCTTCAGATGTTCTCGGCAAGGTTTACGCTGTCATCGCTCGCCGCAAGGGTCGCATTCTCTCCGAAGAATTACGCGAAGGTACTCCATATTTCGAAATCAAATCAGCCATTCCGGTTATTGAGAGTTTTGGATTTGCCGATGAAATGCGCAAAAAGACATCTGGACAAGCTAGCCCACAGTTGATTTTCAGAGGATTTGAAATGCTCGACGAAGATCCATTCTGGGTGCCGCACACGGAGGAAGAGCTGGAGGATTTGGGCGAAAAGGCCGATCGTGAGAATTTGGCAAGAAAGTATATGGATGCAATTAGAAAGAGAAAGGGCATGTTTGTCGAGCGGAAACTGGTCAAGAGCGCTGAGAAGCAGCGTACACTTAAACGCAACTAGAATACAAAAGAGATATCATTTTAAACTCATTCTTAATGATATTGCATATAAAAGATGAATTAAAGAGAAGGACTTCGTTTGCAACCGTTTACAAAGTAGACGAGTTTGCCTTGGTACTCGGCTGTGCAGCGAGTGGCGAGCGCGGAACAATCAGGCAATACACTCTGCTTCAGATTGCAATGCAGCGGGACGATGGTGTCGTCATCGGGGAGCGAGATGTGGTCGGGCTGGCGTGTGCAGTCGAATGCGCTTTGTTCAGCGTTGATGACGACGTCGGCTGTGACATTGGATGCAGGAGTCTTGCAGGCAAGCAGCGTTGGACGGCCGGACGATGCGCGATAGAAGACCTCGGTGATTGTAGCCGTGACAGCGGAGCACAGTAGCAGTAGCAGCAGAGGCAGCAGCAACAGGCAGGCAGAGCGTACGTGCATGTTAATGAAGAGAAAGCGATGGTTGGATAGATATAGTGTTGACAGAAGGGAGGAACAAAGGAGACAAGTGTGCAGAAGGGGGGAAGTTTCGATAGACAATATTAGTGGGAAATGAGTGAGTGATAAAATGGGAGTAGAGTGGGAGTGAGTAATGAATAAGTAATGAAGAATGAGTATGAACGAGAGAAAGGAGAAAGTGGATATTCCAAGAGAAGGAGGAAAATTGAAGAAAGCAGAGCGTCGTGGCGCAGCGGCTAGCGTGTTGGGCTCATAACTCAAAGGTCGGTAGATCGAAACTACCCGACGCTATTCTCTTTTCCTTTCCTTCTTTTCGTTCGTTCGTTCGTTCTTTGCTCGATTGCGCTGTTCACCGTTGGTCGTTGCCTGGCTGCTGCCGTTTGCTTCGGAGGTGAACCGCGACGCATCATATAGACTCGGCGTGTATAATGCACCGGCACCATCGCTGCTCATCCAAAGTGCAGCGGCATTCAACAGATGCAGATTCACGCTTTCGAGTGGATTCAGCAGCGACGACACATCGAGGGCCGAGGGTGTAGAGAAGCCAATTCCGACTCTGAATCTGACTCGGAGTCGGATCCAAATGGAAGGGGAGAGAGCGGGCTGGAATGGCTCGCTCGTGGCTGCAAATAACAAACTTGAATCAGGGAGGGGATGTATGTGACGTGAGCTGCAATGTAACAAATTTCATCGGCGGCGAGATGGCCGAGTTGGTCTAAGGCGCCAGATTAAGGCTCTGGTCTCTTCGGAGGCGTGGGTTCGAATCCCACTCTCGTCACATCTTTTGCTCTCTTCGCCTGCCTCTGTCCTCCAGCCGCCTTCCAGCCACGCCGTTTGTTCGTTCGTTCGCTCGCTCATTCGTGTCCATCTGCCCGTTCGCGCGTCCATCTGCACCGCCAGATGCCCCCTGTTGTTTGTCTGCCTGGTTTATTTTCATTGCTTTAATTGCCTCGCTGGTTCTATTCTGTGGCTCGCGCGTGTGTG